GCGGTGGGCTTTCTACTTCTGAATTTGCCCGAAAAGATAGCTGTTGGGTCTGTAGAATCTCTTGGAAGAAATCTGGGCTAGGCAGTTCTGCTTCTTCGATAACATCGTCCTTTCGGCTGCTAAGGCTAGTATTTACAGCAACGCGAGGGCCGTTCTTGAGGATCTACGTTCATCTCGACATCCGTTCTGTAGTCGTGCAGGCGAGTCTTACGTGTTGAGGTGAACCTTCTCGAAGCAGTGCGTTATTGCGGTAGTTTGCCTTGATAGCATGGTATTGTGTTCTTTCACCGCTTATGGTGAAATTCAGCCTTACGTAAAGCTATGTTTCCGCACGTTTGATGATTTCTTCAATGCGCATCGCTAACAATTGTCTTGAAGCAGGGTCCCTTTTTTGGTTCCACAGGTGCTGCCGAATAGCAACTTTTGGGCTTCATTCCTGATATTTAATTGTTGCAAATGGTGGAGGTATGTGTTGAGAAACAGAAGAAGCTGTTTTGTGTGACTCCCTAGATCTTGAGATAATCCATTTTTGATATTTTTGCGACATCGACATATAGACGTGGAGCTATGTGGCCTATCTCCTTAGTTAACGTGGTGAAAAGTTTAGCGGTGGGTCTCACAGCAGAAATGTTAAGATTTCTGGTAATGAAGAAATACATATAAATGCGATATTGACTTATTTTTTAGTTACAGGAAATTACGTTCTTATACACGACCAGATGTCTCTTTCAAATAGGATGGGGATGAAGATTTCGACTCAAGCAATTGTTTCATGTTAGGCTTCAGTTTTTCGCGCAACACCGTCGAGAGTTGTTCGAGCGGGGGAATGTGGTTTTCTACCCGATATATTGGCCTGAGGTCTTTTGTCATGTTTGTAAAGAGAACTTCGATTAAAACTAAGTTATATTGCAGTTTTCATAAAATTTAGGTGCGATATATTGACATTTCCCTGTCACTTCTATTTGAGGTCCATTGAGTAATTTTTAGACCTGTAATAGCGTGCAGCGACTCAAGGGTTAAATCACTGAAGCAAGAATCCTTGTGGAACTACTTTAAACTTGAATTTTTCTTTCGACTGTCTTGGGGGTGCATAGCATTACCGCGCTCCTAACGTTATAAACAGATAAGTCGTATCTAATCTGTTTTTATACAATGGCTTGTACATACGTACTTACATGAGTCGAGGTTCATAGGATCCCCAGGCGGAAAGAAAATTTACCAAATCTTTCTGTACAAGTCAATTGGTTTCGATCTTTAAGCGAGTTGTTGCCTCTGGAACGCCATCACTAAGCCAGTTTGTCCATCAATTTTTGGCCTCAAGCTCAACTAACGGTAGGCCCAGGAAATGAGCCGTTTCGACGGGGTTGCACCAGGGGAGAGATTTTAGCTGAGTAGGTTTGCGTTGACAAGAGAAAAGGTGGTTGGTGTCATGGGGGAGTCTCCAAACTCCAGACACTTATAGGGATATCGGGGTCGAGTCTAGGTAAGTAGCTTTTTAGGTGGGCGAAATATCCAGAACGTAGTTGGGCCAGAGTGACACGGGTCTCACGTGGCACTCAGGAGTCTGAGTCAGCTGAGGAGATTGGACTCCTTTTACGGCATTCATAGGGCGAGTGTCGTGAAAGATGGTGACCGACTCTCTTTGAATACCGTTGATCGCTTGTCTGTACGTCATAAGCTCCAGTGTTTGGCCAATGTAAGACTGGACCTTATACTCGAAAAGATGCCCTCTAAAATGCCTGGGTGGAAGCTCCCTCCACAAGCAAGGGCCTGTTATGGTGCTCGCGTATGTAGCACCCCACCAAAAACTGCTTGCTGAGCATTTGGTTGTGCTATCTTACTGGGAGTATTTAAGCATAGCTATGTAGATGGAATTCGGGCGACATCAGAAGGCAGCCTGCCGCTGTCCGGAGTGCAGTGTTTGCAGCTTCGCCCATTCGCACGCTAATATTGAGCAGTTGTAAGCATAAGAGGCAATCGAGACTCCCTCTGCTGGTTGAGAGAACTTTGACATATAGCAGTCAACCAGTAGCGGGGAAAGGACATCACCGTATGGGACCCCTGTTTAATTTTTCTTGACTTGCTAGTTTTGTCTCTAAAGATTATTGACGAATGTCGACCACTCGGATAATTCGCTGATCACCGTTTGAGACCCTGCGGGGAGAGGACGCCCCAATGTCTTCTTGTTGCGTGGAGTGGATGACGGTATCAAACGCCTTTGACTGGTTGAACGCTACCCGAACTGTTCTCTCACAGGGGCGGTTTCGGTTCAAGCCATGCGTTACACATAAGTTAGTGTTTGGCCGAGCTTCTCCACCGATCAGTGGAACGACCTCCAGTTTTACGCTGACTCCGAACGACGATTATATTTTTTATGAGAAGCTTTTTTTCATGACAGAACTAGTACATCCGGAGGTTTGCCATTGCCTGCCGAGCAATGACCGCTATTAGAAAAAACATTTTTGTACATATGTATGTTAACCTAAAAAAATTATTTTGTGTTTATAGTTAAATGCCTTTAAGGCCACAGTTATACATTTTATTTATTAGGTTTAAAAAAATGGCGTTTACAAAAATAATAGTAAAAAAATTATACATTTTAAGCACATTTCTTAGTGATATTTTTATAATTATTGTATACATAAACCTTATACACTTTTTATTAAAGAAGTTTCGCGGCTTAAGTCAATATATGCGTAAATATACATACAAATTAAATATACACTCCTTTTGAAAACAATGAAAGAGGTTTGATTCGTATTCTCTATGTTTTTTTTTTTTTACTTTGGTTTCAAGTGGACTAGTTAGCGCAAAATGCTATCCAAAACTTAAATTATTCTTATATATTCGAATTCCATTTTGAAGTAATGTTTATATGTAGTTTCAAATAAATTTTCGAAGAGATTGTATCCGTTGCTCCGTTTTTAATAAATTTTAGTATATTTTTCGATTAAATAATTTGTTCGCTTCTCTTTTTGCTGAAGCTGATTTAAAACATGCCTGGTCGATCAGTTTCTTGATTTGCTTGTTTCTCAAAGAACATGGCATCCTAAAAAAGATAGAATATATTAATTTTCATTATTTTAATTCGTGGAATCATACTAAATTAAAATAATTTTAAAGACATCTCTAAAATAGTGCGTAACACTTCATTCTAGCAACAAATGCATATCGTTCACAAAGGCCCTAACAAACAATTTTTTTTATTTTACAGGAGAAGTAAAAATCATTAGGTACGAGTATTGATTATAAAAATGTGGCATATAACTTCGTTGTTTTTGGCACTAACACTTAAAATTTTTATTGAAAGTGCATTTTAATCCATTCTACCGAAATCTATGAAAAAACCCGGTTTCGAAAAAGGTTGGTTAGGGCCTTTGTGAATTAAAGTGACGATATGTATCATAAGCTTTTAAGCTTACAAGGTTGAAAATTGCTTTTTTATTGATCCATTTTAAATATTTTCCCCTTGTAATCGTATTTTTATCTTTTAGTTTTTAACGCTTTAATACTATACAAAAAGCCTAGCTGCATAAATTTTCTGGCCACCTACAAACATTCACTAACTAAAAAATGATTTAATTTTTTTTATTTTACCTCAATCCTCAAATTCTTCGACGAAAACGATTTAACAGTTTTAAACGATAGAACTTAACGCTATATCTCTACATATGTACATTAATAATAAATGAAATATATAATTTTGCTCAAATGAAAATTGTGTAATCATTTTATTTTACACTTACAATAAGGAAAGTAGCGCCCAATAAAACCGCTTTCATGCGCACATCCAAATCCATTGGAAAATTAATGCCAAAGAAATCAGCATCGGTGAATAATTCGCGTGCTAAACCAGACCACTGCTTTGAGATCTTCCCCACAGTCTCCCCGGTTAATGAAACAACCTAGACGAAGAAGCAAAAATGTTACAACCCCAAAATCCATATCTTAAAACATTTCTCTATGCAATACCTTGAATTCTACATCACCACACATTGTAAACGTACAAAATGGCCCCTCGATGCGCAACACCGTATCACCAATATGATTTTTAATAAGAAATGATGGCGAACAAATGCTCCATTCTTGTTCGATGGTACCAATTACGCTGCCCGGCGGTGCCGACACTTCCATTGTTTGCAAGCAGCAGGGGAAACAGCACGCCGAACAGGCCAATGGACGATTCAAATGGATGACTTCATTGCGGAAATTGTCAAAAATTTTCATATCAAAAGGACGTGCCGGGCCACACATATTACGCGTACAGCAATCATTGTCTTCAACAGCGTAATAGACTTTCTGGCCAAGCGCATTTTTTATGGAGAATTTATTATTGGTTTCGAAACCGGTGAAAGCTTCGAGTAATTCTACTTTTTGTTTAACCAAAAGCTGGTCGACCATCGTAAGGTACTCCAAGCCGCGCGGACAATTCGGTATGCCGGCTGGTATACTCATCCAATCGCCTAGAAATGTAAATAATGTAATGTGCATCGTTCATTGAAAATAAAGTAGTGCTTATATAATAAAAAAAAAACATAACGTTGTGTACCGTTATTTTGTCCACGATCCGGTAATCGGAGCTAAATCAAATTAAAAGATTCTTAGAATTCCGTTGAAGTTGTCAAAAGCTATGAGCTCATATAAAAATTTAGGAAAACCGTTATTTTTTTAATGATCCCGTAATCGGAATTAAACCAAGTTAGTATGGGGCTACTCTTTAGGTACTACTCTTCCGATAAAGAAAGAATTATCCCAAACATATATGTACATATCGTCGTTTAAAGTACAAAACCGCGTCAATAAAGTTTAGGTACAACGAATTTTTTACAATACGGGCAATAATTTTTTAAATATTTTACTTTTCGATGATTTTTTATAAAAGTATGGTTAATTCTATAACAAAAACCCAAAAATCAGAGTTCCAAACCTTGTGCAAAATTAAAGAAAATTCGGAAAAATTACATTCAAATATTGCACTTTTTATTTACGCTCTCTAGAAAAAAGTTGAGTATGCAGTTTTTTAGCCCATTCAATTTTCGTATAATAAAGTGCAAGTATAAGGAAGCTAGGACTTACCATTGATTTTTGCGAAATTTTTTTGTTGAAAGTGTCGAACATTTTTTCCATATAAAAAAATTATGAAACATTATTACATTTTACAAACATTATGTTTTACGAGGGATTCTCGATCAGCGAAAAGTTAGAGAAAGGCGCGTACATGATTAAACAAAAAAATGTAAAAGAAAGAGGCTTGTAGTAATTTGTCAGCACAAAAAAAAAATTCATTTTGTTAGAAATTTTTCTTGAACCACAATATTTTATAATATATAATACAATTTCAAGCGAGAAAAAGTACTCGAAAACGAATCGTAAACGCCTATCATAAACGACTTTTTAGCCGGTTTTTCTTCTTCGAGAAAACAGCCAGTTACGAGCTCGTTTACAATGATTTTGCTGGCTGGGTCTAAAGCCGTTTTTCTCGAGTTTTTGGTTTTCTGAGTTATAACAGTATTGAATTGAATAAGCGTTGTGTTCATTTTTCACAAAATTCGATGTGATTGAAAGAACGAATTTTTTTTTGCTGACTGTCCTACGCATTTTTTTCATATAAAAAAAATTCTGAACATTTTTTATATGGAAAAAATGCGTAGGTCTGAAAATTTTTTATATGGAAAAAATGCGTAGGACAGCCAGCAAAAAAATCTCAAAACTCAACGCGAATATTTGACATTTGAAATTTTCACATAATTAAACTAAAATTTAATGGGCTATAAAACTGCATACCTTAATTCTTTTTAGAAATTCGTATTAAAAAGTTCTCGATTTCGCTGAAACTTTACAGATTTTTCTTAATTTTTGTACACAGTATCATTCTCGGATTTAAATAGGTTTTGCTAAAACATAAGTCATATTTTAAAACAAAATTAACAAGAGCCGTATGCTCAATTTTGGGAGTAACAGTATGTAATTTAAAACAAAAATTATTTAAAAAAGTTTTTAACATGTCGATAACTTTTTGTATTCGCGATACCTTTTTGTATTCGCGATACTTAATCAGTACTTGTGAAAAAGTATTGAGTTCTCGATACTACTCAGTACTCATGAAAAGTATCGATATTATGTACTCGGTACACGTATCGCTCTATCACTAATCATAACTCCCCTATAAAATCGTCTGCTTAAAATGTTAACCCTAAAATCTACTCTAGAAGTCTGAGGTCAGAAATTTCATTTGAAGTCGTTTTATACCTGATATTTTCGATAAATTAATTGCACTTTCGGTCAAAATGTTAAAACTTTAACTCCCCTTAAAAAAAAAACCTCTGGACTGGTAGTGTATTTGGCAAAGTTGGTCTGCGAGACAACCAATCATCAATAGTGTAATCAATCGTCATTTTAGTCGATTTTGATATGAGTACTTTAAACTTCCTAGGTTAGGCTGAAGTTTTTGTTGCCACTCAATCGATTCCCGGAAGGTTCTTGTGATGAACTCAACAAAAATCCAATTCATAAATGATCTACTGTTTTCGCTATGCAGTTTGAAAAATTCGCGTGAACACTACTTCTGAAGTATTTTAGGCAGCCAGTTCCTGCCTTGAGGACGCCGCCTTAATCGGCGATTCTGAGTTCTCATTGCTTTCAAATTGACGTTTTAACTTGCTTGAATAATTTATAGCGCTTATTTTTATTTTTGGTCAAGAGTCACGCAAACAGATATATATCTACTCATGATCTTTGGTTGTTATTGCTGTTGTTAATGTTGTAGCGGCACAACTAAGCCCCGTCTATTATCCATCAATCCTTGTCGTCAAGCTCAACAAACGGTAGGCCCAGGAAACGCGGTTGCTCCCGATGGGTTGAACCCGAGGGAGAGAGGTGTTAGATGACTAGGTTTAAGTGGTTGGTGTCGCGGAATCTCCACATGCCGGACATGTATTAGATAACTGGGCCAGAGTAACGAGGCTTTCTTTTGGCAACTGAAGCTCATTGTCTGCGGTTGCTAGTGATTGGGCTCCTATAACGGCATTCATGCGGTGGGAGTCACAGCTGGTAGTGATGCGAGTCTGGATCGCGTCCGGCTCTATGTGTCGGATTGACTTAGATATTTTCTGATTGAAAGCCTAACCCCGTTTAGAGCGGCGAACCCATTGATCTCTAATATTTTCCTTCACTTTGTGGAGGCTTAAATGGCGGCACGAAACACAATTTTCTCTACATTATATGTTTTCATCGTGCGATATTTCAATCGTTCATCGATTTGACTGAAATAAATACATGTAATAAAAAACCACCCTTTCTCTCTCTAACCACTCCGAATTTTTCGACCTTCCCTCGTAATTATAGAATCAATCATTGATTGACGTCCGTCTACTGCAGTAACAGCTCGGCCAAAAGCGTAGAAAAATGTGTAAGCGCGAAAAATTTAATTTTTCAAGTATAAATCAGGCAAAGTGTAATCTAATCATGTTTGCTAGAATATTTTTTGAATAGTCATTCCTCAAAAGTTATAAGTGATACTAAGTGTATATAATAGATAAAAAAAATTTAACATTTCGTCATTTGAACTAAAAAAAAAAAAAAAAACGACTCGCCAATTAAGCGGCAACAATTGAGCAGCTGAACTTGAGCAATAAATGTTACAGCTTGTGGGGGTTTCAAAGTCAACAATGATTGAGTTAGTTGCTCGACATTTGTCACAGAATAATAGGCTACTTGTATATATGTATGTATGTATTTATGTGCATATCGCACACCTAGAGCAATAAAGCCACAACTAGATATATGCAGTTTTTGAATTTAACTTCCATAATTAACGTGAAAAGCAGCTACTCATCTGCATAGAATTCTTATATATATCAAAAGAAAGTTCTTATTGCAAGATAGTAAACTAAAGCTATTAAGTAATCTGAATTTAAGAAGAAGCAAAAGTTTTTTTTTTGATCTCCTTGAAGAAAAGCAGTTCCTTGTTGAAGACCCTTCACTCTGGGTCTGCGAAATAATAATTCATCAACTAGAAGTAACAAGTAAATTTAGTTGGCTTTATTGTACACATACGTACACCTATGGTCAAAACAATAGAACTACGACATTTTGAACAGTTTTGACAACTTCTTCTCTAACTTCGTCATCGACTCGAGAACGATTAGAGAATTATCCTAATTATCTAATGTAGAAATCCAAATTTCTCTAACGTTAGAGACTGTGTTTGCTGGATATATACTATATCTTACTTGGCTGCGTGTACATTAGACCATATCTACCCGAAAAAAATTAACCATATACCCTGAGTCATAAAGTATTTTTGGAAGGCCATTTCGAAAAAAATATTTCACCTTTTTACATTTTGTGTCATATCATCGGCATCTACAGCCGGATCTTACAGCCGGTTTCACCAGCAATTTAAATGGAAAATAATTTTTTATTTCCTGTTAATTTCCATATGATATTCAAAAAATTAAATTTATTTTCCACTTAAATTGTTTTCGTGAAATTGGCTATTAATGTATGATATATCGATGTTCTTGTCTCGAGAAGACAGTCTTTTTGTTCCAAAGTTCATTGACCAAATTGACTTCTTATCGCCCTAACGTACCACCCTAATGCCAGTAAATTAAAGCTCAACAAAGGTCATTAAACTTTTGCTAAGGAAGTATTTTGATTATTCCAGTAGAACTATTTAAAAAAAATAAATTAATGCGGAATGTAGGTGACACCGATTTAATTTTAAAAGCCAAATTGCTTCAAAATTGCCTTCCAAGAATGTTTGAGCTCTTTATTTTGAAGGTGGCATAAGTGCAGATGCATTCAGTTAGACTTATGCCACTTTCAAAATAAACGGCTCACTTTAGAGTCAGGGGTGTACGGCGAACTTCTTTTTTTGTTGGATTGTAAGGTGGTACGGTCTAATGTAAATAAGTATGTCCATATGCATTTCATGTGTATGTATTTATGTACATATGCAGGTATGAATAAAAAATATAGTTATATTTATGATCATTTACACGTTCGTATTAACATTTTCTTTGTTCATAATCTGAGTTTCAATTTGAAACGTCTTATCAGACAAATTTGTTTTAGCTATCACTTGTAATCAGAAAAGTACTACTAGATATCCTTAAAATATGTTTATATACTGATTAAGAATGTATGTACATATATACATTAGACTGCATCACTCCCCGTACATTGGAGTTATAAAATTTTTTCGAAAAAAATATTAAGATTTACGTGAGCTGGACTGATTTGAAAATACCTCCAAAAATGGAGATTTTTTTTATGAATAAAAATTGTTTCTTAAAGAAGTTTTTGAAAAAATCCCCTTAGATGACAAAACAGTTTAAACTTAAACAATCTGCATTGCCAGTTCGTTGGCTGCCTCGTTTACGTAAATATCTCTATCTCCCGGGACCCATATTAGGGTAATTTCGTATTGATCACAGACATAGGCCAGCTCTCTCCTACAGTCCCTCAATATTTGGGATCTTACAGAGGTATGTATAAGCGAATGCCTTAATGGCCGGTTGGCTATCCGAGAAGATATTCAGATGAATATTTTGGAAAAAAATTATAGGTAATTTTTTTGTCAAAAGATTTCGCAATAAATTTAAACGGTTGTAAATCAAAAAAAAAAAAAAAGGAGAAATATGTAAAACTATAAGCGTTTATTGTAAAATATACTAAAATATGCGCAATAATTATGCAAAAAAAATAGGTATTTATTGCAAAAATATGCAAAACTATGGATTCACTGCAAAATATGCAAAAATATGCACAAACTATTGAATGTGTAAAGAAAACTTAACCCTTTCCGTTTGTAGATGCCCAATAAAAAACATGCATTTGCATAAAATTCCGAGCCCTACTGAATACTCACTAATCACTTTTTTTGCACCTGCACTTGTTTCAAGACTAATGTTTTTGTGTTCCTTTCTGTAGCGGCGAAAATAACATTTACTTTCCGAAAATAAAACTGAAGGTAGCGTTAATCCAGGACTACTTTTGAAGTTTTCTTTTTTCATATAAAACCGAATTTATTTCTATTACTACACCAGCCAGTCATCTCACCTTTTGTCTTCATCGCTTAGGAAGAATTCATATCCTTTCCTTTTTGCTGATTTATTTAAACGCAACGAGCGTCGAAATTTTTTCGCCAAAGGTTTATTTGTTTCACGTTCGACCACACCTTTCAAATTGCTGCTGCGTCTGCGCAGATAATCATATTTTTCATACAAACTATGCCAAATGATGCGCAGCACTTTAGCACCCACATCGCCTATTCGGGTAGTATTGTTGTTGTTGCTGCTATTGGCGCCGCTTTCGTTAGGCGTTTTTGTTGCGGCAGCTGATGTTGAACCATACAATTCTACTGTGGATGCATATGAATTTTTAGCCGTTCGAGATTCGCACATTCTGCTGGCCGAGTGTTTGAAATATAGTTTTAGTAGTTTTTAAAAAAATAACCAAAAACATATGTATGTGTGAAAATTTAATTTATACTTTTAGAAAATAGCGTTTTAACCACGAGCTGCATATATTGCCCGGCTGGACCGTTGCTGCAAGACTAAATGTATGTGGATGAATTTCAAGCCGACGAAGACGTATGTATTATAACCATCACAAATGTTGGCAATGTACTACAACGCGCGCGTTTATCATTTAATTTGCTCAATTAAAGAACTTGGTGATAAGATGTGATCGTACCGGAGAATTTTCAGCGAGAAACGTAATATTTGGGTTTAATATACACGAGTATTTAAGTACATATGTACATACGTATATTTGTGTAGTATTTATATACGCTCGTTTGTATGGCGGGCGAAAGCGTTACAACTTACTAAGCATCTTAAGCATAGTCTACTACTTAATACAAATTTGAGTAGACAAACATGTGTACTTAATTATTACAGATGCATTTAGTTAGTTGAGTAGGTAAATGCCAAATGTTTTCTTTCTCAATTGCACTTTGTTCCTTTTTTTCTGTTCTGCAGCAAAGTAGGTCATTGCTCGGATTGGCGACTCCAGAACACGCGTTCTCGAAAAATTTATTCAAATTTAACCATAACGATTTGCAGGAAAGAAACCTTTTCCAATCGATTTGCATTGTCGTCGCTCTACGTTTAATGGTACAGAAATACCAGGTCATTGACTATGTTGAACGAAATAAATACGCACGCACGAACGACTTGGCTATCGCATATGTGTCGCTATTTCTTATCGCAGAAGGAACAAGGGAGTTCTTTTACAAGAATAATTACTTTAATGACTAGCAAAGATGCAATAAAATGCACTCAAATTGAATTTCATCGTACATACATACATACAGTATTGGCCATATCTATAGCACCCCCATTTCGGAGTGATATGGTTATCCTAAATTATTAATTTTTAAGAATTTTCAATTAAAATACAATTTATTGACTAACAAAACCCATATAAGCCCAAGTTTTAAACTTTGTAAAAGACTAAAAAAAAAAATGCAAAAAATTTTCTCATAAATTTCTCCGAAGTGTTAGTATTTTTTTGAGTATGCAGTTTTGTTGAACTTTTTTGTAGATTTCTACAAAGTTTTAAACTTGAGTTTATATGGGTTCTGTAAGAGAATAAACTGTATTTTAATTGAAATATCCTAAACAATATCACTTTGAAATGGGGGTGCTATTGTATTGGCCAATACTGTATATGCATATGCACATACATACATACATACATAAATAGGTACATTATCTATATAAAAATATTGATTTACTAGTATCGATGAAAGTACAACTTTTATAAATTGAAAAATTCACTTTAATTTTTTATGCTTTTCGGAGTAAGCAGAATAACTTCTGAATGTTGTTGGAAGCAATGAGGTATCTAAGTGGTCTCTTCACAGGCAGGAAACTTAGGTTAGGTCGGAACAGCAGCACCTCGGGCAGCAGAGTTCACTCGGATGTCGCAAGTCCTATTGCAGGTCGTTTAAGAGAGCAGTCTTCGTTATAAGGAGCTTGATTTTTGGCGTTCTAAGACAAGCGTAAAGGAGTGTTAGCGAAATTTGAAGTAGCCTTTTCTGACGTTGTTTTTTCTTTTTTTTTTTTTTTTGGAAAATTTGGCGTGGATTTTTCGAGGATGCTATTACATATCGCTAGTGTCGAGTGAAAATTTGCCAAGTCCCATTTTTTCAATTTTTCTTCTTATTTTGCAAAAATGTCGGTATGTACATGATTTCGCTTGTTCTAAACTAAAACAATTCAAAAAGAATAAAATTCCACAACGTTAATAAAAAGTTGTTGCACTCTCTGTGACTATTTCGGACTTAGCTAATTTACGAATAGAAAAGTTTAAAACTAAAACAGGTGGTTGAATATTTTAGGAAATGATGCATTTGTAATTGTTCTTGCTTCTTGCATCAAAGTATAGTTTTTTACAAAATTTAGAGTTAGCAATGCCTTTCTCTCACGCCCTAAGCTATCGATATTACATATTCAATTATATACATATTTTTAAATTTATTTATTTATTCAAGGGGAAAAGCTGAAAATACATAAAGCTGTTTTTCTGTAAGTTTTTTTCCCCCATTTTAAGGTTCACGTCTCACGATGTATGGGCCAAAACACAAGTAATTTTTAAGCAAAAAAAACAATCGACTTTAATTCTCATATAAAAATTTTGGAGTACCGTTATTTTCTTAATCCAATGATCGGATTTAAACCAAATTAGTATGGGAGGGGAGCACCCTTGAGGTACCACCTTTCCGATAGAAAAATAATTATCGAAATCGGTTGATGTGGTCTAAAGTTATGCGGCAACATACATAAAAAAACAAAAATATTCCCACGAATTGATAACCTCCTCCTTTTTTGAAGTCGTTTAAAAAATTCACGTTGTTCCCAGTGATTTTGAACACTCAATATGAGAGTATTGCAGGAAGGTAAATATTTTTTGCAGGACCCAGTAAAAACAGCAAAATCATTGTTCTATAACTTTTTTTGTTGTTATCCGATTAACTTTTTAGTTTGATCCTTTTTGGGAGGAAGTGGATAAAACCTTCACAACGGTAAGTTATATGAAAAAAATGAATTAAGCTGTTTTTAAAGGGTGCCAAAAAAAATTTTAACCAACGTGAAATGCTCTCATAGTGAGTTCAAAATCGCTTGGAACAAATTGAACTTTTTTGTGTTACGGTCTTACACAACGTCGGTGATACTGCAAAACGGTCTATGTCTATTAGTACCCTTCACACTTAGATGGTCTCTTACTTGCACCGGAATGCACCTGTAAATCGTTACACCCTAATAAACGCATGACAAAACTGTCTACCTTTGGCTGATGAAGATGAACGATTGCCAGAAGCGATCAGATATATGTAGATAACAGATCAATTAAGCACCAGAGGTAATAAGTGACAAGTGTAGTTTTGCAATATCACCGACGATATTTTTGTATGTACGTACTTGCTTTTTGTGAGGCTCTTTCCTGTTTTTACTTTTCAACTGAAAATACATTTAAATAACCATGCACAAATTTCCTAAATTTACTAACCTGCTGGACCCATTGGTTGTCCCGGCTGCATCATTGGCTGTCCCATTGGTTGTTCTGGTGGTGCCATTCCTGGTTGCGTAATTATTGGGCCTTGTGGGCCATATCCAGGCCCAGGTTGGAAGCCAGCGCCTCCATTGTACTGTGGCTGAGGATGTGGCATGCCACCATAAGTAGGTTGTTGGCCACCACCGTATGGAGGTTGTTGACCGCCACCATAAGAAGGCTGTTGACCACCACCATAAGGAGACTGTTGCGGTCCACCATAAGATGGCTGCCCGCCGCCATATGGCGGCTGTTGACCACCATAATTTGGAGGCGCTTCACCATAGGGCAGCATTTGTGGCACGGGTGTGTATCCGCTCTGCGGTGGTCCCGGTGCAAAGCCCTAAGGAAAGAAAACACGGAATAAAAAAGTTTGTACAGCAGCTAAGAAATTATAACTAGGTTTCTACACATGTATGTACATACATATGTATGTATGTATATAAGTATGTACATATGTACATAAGTACCATGGCAATAACTAAATTTCGCAATTGTTCTCGTTGACAAAATCCAGCGACTTCGCAGAATTAATATTTTTGAGTAGAGCACACAGCAGTAAAGATAAAGTTTATTTAATTTGTGTAAAATAAAGTTCAAAAATAGGTTGGTTTATGGCGGATTGATCGTTATTGTCGCAACAGCTAAAAAATTCCCTAAAGAGTTTTTGGGGTATGATGCTGAAGTGATAAAAGGCCAGATAAAAATCTGGGGCGTTGCGTGGGAACGTTGGATGGTGTTGTTGTTGTAACAGCATAAAAATTTCCCAGAGTTTTTGGGAAGTGTTGCTGGAGTGACAGTCCTTGGCCAGATATAAATCTGGGTCGTTCCGGTAACGTAGACCCGATTGTCGTGGGATGGTGTCGTGTGGACTGCTTTCACAAGCCGGCCATATATTGCATTTGTAGCGGCCGCGTCCAGATAATAAGAAGTTCACCCCGCTACAATATCTAGACTTTAGTTACGCTGGAATTACAGGCAGCTTAAACTCTTCGTTTGCAAAGGTTGAGGGCCACGACTTTTACGATAATCGAGTTGCATGTTTTTGTTAAACGTATCGTGAGCCATAGTTGAAGCCATTGCTGAATATGCGGTGTACGCCCATTTTTTTAAACAAATAAAATTTTATATACGTATATGCACTTACATATGCACCTGGTGCTGAAGGCTGATAACCGTCGGCTTGTGCCACGTTGGGGGCTGTTCCTACTGATGGATATCCAGCTCCAAATCCCGGCGGTACATATCCGCCCTTATTTATGTTAGTCATTGGCATCGACATTCTTCGTCGATATGTGCCTGTGAAACCTTAACTCAGTATTTCTTATTAGGTAAAGACACTCCCCACTTTCCCCTGAAATAAGTTTTAAGTACGGCCGGTGTTATGCAGACAAACTTTTGTGTGGCAAATTAAATGGCGGCCGCTTGGTTTGCTCTGAGGATGTTACGTCGAGTGCGGCACAAGGCAAGGGAAATTTATACACTGTACTTATAATTATTTTTTAATTTATAAATTCGCTTCGGCACAAGGTCAAGCGTGACATCACCATAGTTAACTCTAGATATCATGGATAACTAACAGGGTTGGCACTTCACGAAACTAATTGCGTAGCAAAATACCAGAAAAATCGTACTAAAAATAAAAAATCATACCGAAATATAAAAATTTGTTATTTTAAATAAATATGTATATTCAATGTTATAAAACAAAACATAACAATTAAATTTTAACAACATTTGTACTCTTTTGGGTATTGTATTATACATGTTTATTTTACAGTGGCGTTTTTCAAATGCCGAACTTATAGAACTACACACTTTCTGCCATTTACCCCAGCACTTTCGCCATAACTAAGTGAAATTTTACGTTATTTTAGAATATCGATAATTCGATTTCTACGGGATATTGCCTCTGTGGAGCCGCCTTTTTATCTGTGGCAACGAATCCATCATGGCAGTAGTTTGACACGCAGTCATTGTTACCTCTTTCCGCAACTTCGTGCCCCTTTCCGCCTGTCATGCGAATATTTGTCCGGTGGTGCCTATTTATGTTTCAGACGTTTTTGTTCAGACGCCTCTCGCACAATTTGCAATAAGAGTACACATTTAGATCTTGAAACCATGTCCTGTTTACCACATTTTTGAAGTCATAGTGATTTACAAATAGTTGGTGCCTATAAGTTGAATGAAATATAAAAAGCGTAGTAAAAATGGGATTAAGCGTACTGGGGTACCAAATTTTATAATTTAGGAAAAATCGTAGTAAATTTACTACGATTGTAGCAAAGTGCCAACGCTGGTGTGCTGTCAAATCAGTAGGAGCAAAAACAAAATACATGTAAAGAAATCAGCTGATTTAACAACACCACCAAGGCGAATTTATACAAGGTGATGTTGATGGCGAATCTAGATTTTCGCAGCGGTACTTCTTAATGTCAAAATGATGTGTTTGTTGTAATATGAAATCGCCTTGTTTACAACAAACATCATTTTGACATTACGAAGTACCGCGTCGAAAATCCAAATTCGCCACCAAGGCGAATTAATTTTTTTATTTCTTCTTCTGAATGTCAAAATGATGTGTTTGTTGTAAAATTAATTCGCCTTATTTACAATAAATACTTCATTTTAACATTAATAAGTTCCGCGGCGAAAATCTAAATTCGCATTGAACACCACCTTGTATAAATTCGCGTTTGCAGTAACACCACCTTGTAAAAATTTGCCTTGCCTTGAACATATCGTTATGTAACTCATAATTTGAATTTCAAATACAATTAACGACGAATACGTAAAAACTTAACTGTGTTTTTAATTCCCGCTAAACTTAGAGGCAATGAAAACTTATGTAGCTCAATGTGCCGTATGAATAAAAAATAAGCAATCGCCTTTTCATAAAATTTCAGGCCTAAAATTTTTAGAAAAAGCGTTTGCTTAATTTTCCTTTTCAATTTTATAAATAAAATCTTACGATTCTCAGCCTTTGTTAATTAATTTGAGTGCTTTGGAAAAGAGAAGAACTGTCCTTTCCATTAGAGGTTTACGCCGACAGGCCTTGCGGTGGCGGCGTGGTCAACTTCAAGTCATATATCTACAACATAATTAATGGCATTACTGATTGTCCAATTTTACTTGAGCAGATAAGCTTTAACGTTCCGCAAAGAAGTCCACGTAATGTCTACCCTTTTTACGAGGAAAACTACAAAACTTATTATGCAAGTAATTCACCCATTGCTCGTGCGCTTCGAGAACAGAACTATTTTTCAAAGTCACAGTTGCTTCATTTTTCTTTATCTTGTTGTGCTTTTATAAAAACTTTAGACTCAATTACTTTATAAGTTTATCATTGTATATACATACATAAGTATATTTTATTTTGCTAGTCTCTAAGGTAATTTTCACTGTAGACTTAATTCAATAAATAAATAAAATTTTTCTTTTTTTTTTCTTTCAGATTTCTTTATTGCAAATTTCTTAATCGTTCATTAAATGAAGATCTTAAGTAGCAATATAAAAAATGTATGCATGTACTTAAAAAATGCTTGCAATAAAAATGATCTTAGTCCTATCATATTGTAAATATTACTAGAAAAATATTTAGTCAAGTTGTTATAAAAAGGCGTATTCGGTGTCTTGGTTGTGAAAAGGTTGATTTCATAAGTACTTTGTTTGCTTGAAAATCAACAAGAGCATAAGCGAAAATTCAGTAATGTGCGCGTTGAGTATACAAGTTTGTAAATCCTTTTAGGCGTAGGACGTAGCAATACCTGTTGTACTGGCTAAGAAAAAAATTATTTGAGCATTGATTTAATATTCAAAATGCACCATGTCCTGAAAGAAGAGGAAGTTTAAATAATTAGTTATATAAAAATATTTTTCTATGTATTACAATTAAAAATGTTGCAGCTAAAACCACAGCTTTCATGCGGACGTCCAAATCCATGGGAAACTTGGCGCCAAAATAATCAGCATCCGTGAAAACTTCCTTGTTAATGCCTCTCCACTGCTTTGCGATTTTTCCAATTTTTTCGCCATTCATTGCAAAAATCTGAAAGTAATCCAAATAAAGAAAACGTTTAAATTTTAAAATATACATAAATTTTAGTTTTAAATACTTGTATATCACTTACGTCAAACTCTACGTTAGCGCAGCACTTGAAAGTGCAGCGTGGTCCGCGAATACGCAACACATTCTCGCCATAAGCATTCTTGATTAAGTACAAAGGACGAAGAAGGGACCACTCTTGTTCTACGCTACCAATTACCGTTCCCGGCGGCGAAGATACCTCCAAAGTCTGCAAACAACACGGAAAGCAACAGGATTCACAACGCAATGGTCTGTATATGTGCAGGACTTCATTTTGGAAGTTATCAAGCACTTGTATATCGAATGGACGGCAGGAGCCGCACAAATTTCTGGTCAAGCAATGAGTGTCCTCGACAGCTAAATATACATTTTCGCCAGAAGAGTTTTTTATTTTTGATTTGTTTTTCATTTCACAGCCAAAAAATACTTCCACCAAATCCACTTGTTGCTTTACAAGCAGCTGGTCGACAGCCGTTAAGTACTCTAAACCTGTTGGACAGTTAGGTATGCCGATAGGAATGCTCATCCAAGTCTCTATTTGAAGGAGAAAAAATAATGATATATACATTATATGGAACTCGGCAAACATGTAGGTTCATACATGTTTACAAATGTATGTATAAACAAATATGGAAACAGTAGAATACCTTGCGGTCCTATTGTGGCCCGTGGCTGCCGCACAATCGGTGGTGCATCTTGCGGAACACCTTCATAGTCGCGATTCTTTTGCATTTTGGACCTTCGTTCTCCGATTCCAAATTGTTGAGTTAATTGGATGAAGTAATCGTAGGCACTTTTTTCTGCAAAGCAATTGTGTGGATGGATGGATTATTGTTACGAATATATGCACACATATACACATGTATCTTTCTGTACTGCGGCCGTTTTATCCAAGGTTTTAACTGTTTGAGGAATGGCAGGATCCTGTAACTTTTTTAAATAGAGTTTTTACACCATTTCTCAAAAATTAAAAGAATTAAATAAGAAATGCATAACAGACACTCCTTAAACAGCAGCAAAAAAAAAAACAAATTAAAAAACACATATGTATGAATGCACAGGAATGCATTCGAATAGGCAAAATAATATTTAACCCTTCAAATTTTTGGGAATTCACTCTCACATTCTAGCGAATTTATACAAGGTGGTGTTACTGGAGAATCAGGATTTTCGACGCGGTCTTTCTGAACATCAAAATGATGTGTTTGTTGTAAACAAGGCGAATTCATATTACAACAAACACATCATTTTGACATTGGGAAGTAGCGCGGCGAAAACCCTAATTCGCCAGTAGCACCACCTTGTATAAATTCGCCTTGGTGGTGTTACTGGTGAGTTCAGATTACAACAACAACAACGGCATGTATTTTATATTGCGGGTGTTATGTCAAATCTCAATTCGCCCCAAAAGTTTTTTATGTATTTTGTTTTTGCTTTTGATGGGTGTGCTGTCAAATCAGTAAAAGCAAAAACAAAATATATGTAAGGCGATGAAATCAGCTGATTTAACAACACCACCTTGTATAAATTCGCCTTGGTTATAAATGTCACGTAAAGCCACAAAGATTTATCTGGCACCAGCTTTATCAGTCGTTTATCTACTACTAGTCGACACTCACAATAGGGGTGTCAATCTCAATCTGCCTTATCCTGAGTTTCGTCCGAAAAAATTTCACCCGAAAATTTTGATCCCCCTCATAATAAATACATGGAAACCAAAAGTGAAAAGTGAACCCGTTAGAGAAAAATGAAACTCATGATAAGGCGGTATCTGGTTTCATTTTTCCCGAACCAGTTCCCTTTTTACTTTTCGTTTGCCTGTATTTATTATGGGCGGATGAAATATTGTCGCGTGAAATCCTGAGCTTCGGATAACCCCAATTATTGAGAGTGAACAACGTGATTCGGTTGACGTGGAGACGCCATTAAAGTTTACGAGGCTTTTATGGGAAAGCCCCCTTTGCGAAAAGGTGTAAACCGGTGCATAAAGTGACTGTTTGACAGATCAACCAGGATTTTGTGAAAATGCCGAAAATTAAGTCGATACAGCTAATGGATGAATTCATTCGCGTATTATTTTTTCATTGATTTTCATTATTTTATCAAAAATTTTAGTATAAAAAATTTCGGCCCCTCGGCAATACTGAAGTTTACGTGGTCGTTTGTGCATCAAATTTGCCCCGGTAAATTTACGAGGGGCTCGTAAATAGAACTCCATACAAATTTAGACAGCTCTTTTACAAGGCTCGTAAATTTACAAGCTTTACGAGGTTTACGAGGCTTTTACGAGTTTAAGGGAAGACCCCTATTAATGGTGCTAAAAAATACAACCCTGTGTTTGGTTTTAACGCCGGTCGTTGCTTCTTTATTTATTGCCGTTTGTTTAACGTGGGAAGTCATTGATATTTCATCAGCCAGGCGAATTGGACGTAGCAGCGGATTTG